TCAACAGCTGCACTTTGAATCTCAACTATGCCAGGGCACTTTCACCAATTTGAAAATCCATATAGTCACAACAAGGTAGCAGAAAATGGGGTGTGAAGATTCTTACCATGTGCCCCAATGCTGTTAATTCTACTTTGGGTTCCTTGAATCCTGATTCCTCCTATATTGACCTTGTTTTCACTCCAAGGAATTTTTCTGGAATGTGAAGGTTTGTGAACTGCTTGGTGTGCTCCTCTGAAAGGCTGGCTGAAGCCAGGTGTAGCACATACCTGTAATCCCAGAGACCCAGGAGTGGGGGGTTGGGGAGTTGGGGCTGAAGAAGGAGGATCACAGGTTCAAAGCTAGCCTGGGTAATTTAGTGAGACTRTTTCRAAACATAAAGGGCTGGGGAGTGTAACTCAGGGGTAGAGTGCCCCAGGGTTCATTCCCAGTACTACCAAAAAGGAAAAAAAAAAATGCAGTTTGGAAAAAAAATCAGTCTTTTTCCCTAAAAAGAAAAATGGGTTCTAGAAAGAAAGATGGGTTAAAACTTTAGTTGAGTCATTGTTCTTCCCTATAGATCAAACTTCCAAACTCTGAGCCTGTTGAGCCCTTCCCTGGTGTCCAAGGGTATATATAGAGTTCAGTTGTGTCATCTTGTATGTCTTCCAGAACCCGTTGGGGTTCCAGGTTTGATGCATTCTTTGCTGTATCCCCACCTCCACCAAATCCATGTCCCTATACCTGAACATGGTTAAAGAGTTAGAACTGAAACCAGTCTTAAAAAGTAGAATGGGGCTCATTCCCCCAGTGTTATAGATTGAACACTTGAGAAATGCCAAGGCAATAGGTTTTATTTAAAGGATAGAACAGAGACTCCTGAGGGAGTGGRKTGTGTTGGCCTTTTTATAGATATCAGATTTCCTTTCTTGTGTCTCCTCTTCCTCTTATCTTGCCTATTTGACCWAAARGGCAGRAAGAGAGCCATCTAGGGGTTGACTTCTTGGGTTGGAAAATGTGATCTTTCCCCTCCCCTGGAGGTTGTTAGCAACCAGGTGATGGGGAGTGCTACCTACCCATTTCCTTCTCTTTGATTATCAGCTGCCTGTCTTTTGCTTTCATCTCACCATCAGTGAGATGGGCTAAGGAGCTGCAGTCATGCATCAGTTCTGTAAGATCAACTTTCCCTCCTTGGCACAGTGTGTGCCCTGTATGTTAAAATAGCTAAAGCAGCAATATACAAATGCCAACATGACTATTAAACCACCAGACTGTCCATTGTGCTCCAGGGCCCTAACAGAAGAAGCAAGTCTGAAGTTGAAAGAAATGTTTTCACAAGATTTATTCATTCCAAATGARAGACTTGGGCTTGAAGATTATCTTTAATTATGATAAAACTGGAATTGGAATACAATTTTTATGCTTAAGGTTATGATTTCACTGAAAATATAAAATCTTTCAGAACTCCAGTCACTAACTTCTCCAGATAGTGGCATAACTCACCCAGTATGCCAGTTAACACCATTGATGCGTCATTCAGGTAGGTTGAGATGCATTACTTTGATTTCAAGAAAAGACATACCCCATGTTCCTAAGCACTTGAGTCCAAGTAGATTCTGTTTCTTAAAGGTAAGCAAGTCTTATAGTTCAAGTGAATATTCCAGACTAAAATACGTGTATTTTTGAGGGTCTTCAGACCTTAAATAATTATGTTCTTGATAAATATATTAAGTCCTGTGGTAGCAATGACTCCCTCCTTTATGGAGTTTGTGCAGTGATATCCATTGCACAATGTGACATGGAGCTGGTTGGCATGTGCTTCCATTGACTTCTGTTAAAAGAGGTAATTTCACCTTGTAGCTGGGTCAATACAATATCTGAAAGAGTCAATTGTTAGTACAAATAGTGAAGAAACTATTATATCTTATTATACCCCCCAATACCACATTTCCCCAAATGATTCAGGGTCATTTAAAAGCATCTTAATTAAAACAATAAGCCATAAGAGAGAATAAAAGCCCAGTAAGAAGAGAGCAGGAGTACAAAAGTAAGCCATTGGCCTTTATGTTTTCAGTTTGGCTCTTGAGCCTCCTAAGGGCAGAGAAAAGAGACAGCTGACAAATTAGCCAATGAATTCATCACTTCAAAATGGAGGAGGGGAGCGGTCCTTCACATTTGAGGAATCCTGAACCCAAATGAGAACAGGCTCTTTTTCCCYGCTGATCTCAAGTACTTTGAAGAAAGTAGAACAGAAAAGGCATCTGGATAAAAGGAGGATCTAGAAAAAGTGGAGACTGATGCATTTGGCTCCAGAACAGGAAGGTGAGTTGTTAGCTGCCCACTCTGAGGTCTGGGCCTGCTCAGCTGATTGGCCAGCCAAAGTTAGAGGTAAAATGAGAAGCTACTTCCAGGTTGTATGCATGGATAAATAGCCAGAAGTATGTTCGAAAGTCTTATATTTATTTTGTACTCATAAAGATTGCCTTTCCAAAATTTACTTTGTATTTATAAACTTAAAATTTCTGCTTTCAATATTTTATTATAAAATTGTAATTTATCACAATCTGGAATTAGGCAACTGTGGCTAGACGGCCCTCTAGTGGAGTTTATCTATACTGCAAGGGGCCAATTATCTTGAACCCTCCACTATTGCCACATGAACCTCCATACCAGTCAGTTTCAGAGATAAGAGATAAACTGTCAAATCAGTTTGATGCATGTCACCTTGATTTATTTTGGGGAGTAGCAGGATATTATAGCTGATGGAATGAAACCTAATACCATTAACATTGGACAAATTTCCTGACCTGTTACCAAATTCTCTCAGGTAAGTATAACCCATGTGTCACAGGCCTCTCCTAGTGAAGAAATATGTGGGACTTAGGGAATCATTGATACAGCAGTCACCAGCCATATGTGACTAGTCCAAACTGATGTGCTGTAGGTGTGAAAAGTTCAGATGTAAAGAATATATAAAAATCTGGGCTGGGGTTGTGGCTCAGTGGTAGAGCACTTGCCTAGCATTTGTGAGACACTGGGTTTGATTCTCAGCCCCACATCTAAATAAAATAAAGGTCCATCCATGACTCAAAAAAAAAAAAAAAAAAAAACTTTTGAAAAAGAATATATAAAATTTCCAATTTTATAATGATTGTAAGTTCCACAATAATTGACTGGGTTGAATTAAATACACTTGAAGTGATATTAGTATGATTTGCATTATATTTCTATTGGACAAGATGGGTGTAAAACATGAATCAAAATCATCATGGAAACATGCAAATAGCAATCTACAATGTAATAGGAAGATGTTGCCATACTATACAGAACCTTGAGGAAAAGGAAGAGTAAAATTAGCACTCACAGTGTGGAATTTACCAGGAAGTGGCTATTTTCCCTCCTAAGGACAGAAGTTGCAGAGGTAGGGAGCTCATGCTACTCAGAAGACTCGACATAGAGTCTGGTCTCGCACTAGAGATTTTAAAGGAAAAAGACTTCAGAATGTATTTATTAAATGCTCCTTCTGTTCTCCATCTGTCCTGCACAAACATTTGTGTGTTCATTGGAGTAATCAAGGGCTGGAGGGTTTGGTAGGCTACATCGAGTCAAATATGACTTCCTAGTAAAGAATCCAGATGAAGAAAGGTCTGGTCTCCTGACCAATTCTTCTGCTGGTGTGTGTGTGTGTGTGTGTGTGTGTGTGTGTGTGTGAGTAGTAGTAGTAGTAGTAGTAGTAGTAGTAGTAGTAGAGTAGTAGTAGTAATGTAGTAATGGAAGGGGAGAGATTGGAGGAGGTGGCATCACAAATATCACTAGAATTTGTATAAAGTACTCTTTTTTGAAACTACCCTATGTTAGGCAAAATGTTCCACAGAATTCTCTCCTTCCCTTGTTTTCACTTGACTGTTTGCTCTAAAAAAGCAGATCCATGTAAAATCCCAGTGTGTCGTTTTATTGCTACTAATAATGACTTTTTGTCATTTTGTTTCTTTCTGTGAAGTGCTGAGGATGAAATCCAGGCCCTCACACATGCTAGGCAAGTGCTCTACCACTGCTCTCCCAGCCTCTGACATTTTATTTTTAATAATAAGTGAATTCCTCCTGTAGTTTTCACATTTCTCTTAAATAATGGTTCTTAATTAGGGGACATTTGTTAGTGTCTGAAGACTCTTGATTGTCACAACTAGGTTGATGGGGCTATGCCACCAGCATCTAGTGGGTAGAGACCAGAGATGCTACAAAGTATGCTACAATGCAAAGGACTCCTGCAACAAAGAATGCTGACCCAGAGTGTCCGTAGTACAAAACTGGGAATCACTGTCTTAAAAATGTCATTTCTGGGGCTGGGGTTGAAGCTCAGTGGTAGAGAACTTGCCTATCAGAAGTGAGGCACTGAGTCTCATCCTCAGCACCACATAAAAATAAATAAATAAAACAAAGGTATTGTGTCCATCTATAACTAAGAAAGAAAAGAAAAGAATGTCATTTCTTCAAGACCTACCTGCTAAGGTGTTCCTGAGTATGCTATTGGCTGTTTCCAAAATGTGACATAGAAAGCTTCTCTAGACCATAGGTTAAGGGGACTTTATTGCTAGCACCACTGATTTTTCACTTCCAGGTGAAACTTACAGCACTTATAAAATAATAATAATAATAATTGATTATTAGTCTTAAGTCAACATATAAAACTAGTTTTAGTGTTAATTGTTTATAAGTGACCAGCAACTCCCCATTTGCTCATCACAAACAAGCATGTTCTTAAGAGTGTTCATGAGGCGAAGCTTGTCCATACTCGCCAAAGGACCACTGTATCTGTGGTCCGGCTGCAGAGTCCATAAGCCACACCCAGGTTATTCTCATGATCTGTTTCTCCAATAAAAGCTTCAGTCCTCAGCTCAACCAAAGAACAGTCACCAACTAGCAGAAGAACAAAAAAAGTAAACTCACACTGAAAAATTAAACCAGACATTACTGACCACTCTCCACCTCTCTAATTTTAACACTGACCAGAAGATTCTGACTCATATCCCAAAGAACAATAAAACACTGAGTTACTATTCTGGCAAAATTAAAACAAGCCTCTTCAAGTTGTCTGGTGGCGGGGGTCTCTGACTTGGAGTCATCCCCCTTTCCTGCGCTGATGGTACCACCAGGGCCAAGACACACGTAAGCAGATGGTGCTGTTGGCAAGAGGTGATGACACTGTTGCTCTGGAGTGAAGCAGTGGCACAGGCAGACATGGTAGCCATGAGGGAAGTCAGTGGACACACTCAGTGGAGATGGGGCCAGAGTTGCTCTGGGAAGTACTGCCTACCTCTCAGCTTAAAGGTGTCCAAGTGCCCTTCTTCATTGTCTCATTCACCTGGGAATTTTCAATCTTACACTTTCTTGCATAAAAAAAATACAGCACATGGCCTGTGGTTACAAACAGCATGGAAATGAAGACTAGCATGCCAAACTGCTGTGGCCGCGGGGCCAGCATGACGAGGATGAAGTGGATGAGGTCCATAAGATAGTTCAGGGAGCACTGCACACCGTTGACAGCCCCTCGCTCTGCTTCCGGAATGTTCTCCTGGAGAAGCTGGGTCACAGTGAGGTCAAAGGACCAGAGCCCTGCAGGACAGCAATGTAGGGAGAGAATAAACATGAACAGATGTCAGAGGACCCCTGTGAGATTCTGGCTCTGGAATTGATGAGCATTGTTGCCTTGGATAAATGCAACTTCCTGCTGCTCAGTTTCTTTATCTGTGAAATGGGAATATTTAAGGCACTAATGGCTCAATGGAGAATTCCATGAACTTGTACAATAAAATGTGTAATACTGTGCCTGACCACCTGTGCGTGGCAGTTACTGTCATAAGTTATGGTGTTATTAATTATCTTTTTAAATCACCATCACTGCCATTGTCGTCAGATGCACTATAACTTCATTTTGGATGTATTTATTTGTGTCCCCTCCATATTGCAAAAACATGTTTAAGGCAGAGAGCAAAATCTTGAGCTTCAAATCTACTTCCAATTCCAGATTTTCCCTCTTCCCACCTGGCTTAGCGGAGAAAGAATTGGACTCCACTCTTCACCCTGCCCACCACTCTCAAACACCTAAAGAGGACACATTTGAATTTGTTTCAGAAGCAGCTCCAGGATCTGCTGTGTAACCTCAGCAAGGGCAGAAGCCAGCAGTGCTGAGGACAGTGCTGTCCTTCAGTGGCAACATCTCCCCTAGGGGTTCTAGTGCCTGTCCCAGTGGGCCCTGAACCCAAATTCTGCCTGTTCAGTTGGTTTTCCAGCCAACTAGCCTTCTGGGTACTCCCAGGATTCAGCATTGGCTCTGCAGAGGCCTCCTGGTGCCACTGATCCAATACCTGGACTTAGCTCTGAACTCAGTAATTATTTGGAGGTAATGTACTATGTCCTCCGGTACCTGCCTTTGCAGAGCACTGTCTGGACCTCTGTCTTCCTGGGCTGCCTTAACCACCCTGCTGTGGCCACCACCCACAGGCCCTGACCAGTCCCCCATCCTCTTGGGGTATTCTTACCACCCCAAATGCCTCAATTTCTCTCCAGGCTTTCCTGCCAAGAACCCCATCCTGCAGGGGACTCTGACCCAGAGCTTACCTGTAATATCTCCACACCTTCAGGCCCTTTGCCAGCAGCACTTACAAAGTTAGAGAGTATCTGTAAAATGCTGCAGTGATACTATGAGAAGTGCTCAAGGAAGCGAGGGCTAATTATGCTCTGAGAATTATTTCTAAATTGAGGGCATAAAAAGTTACAGTTCTTAGATTTTAAAAAGCAAAGTGACTTTTAAGCAGTGTGCCAAATCTTATTGTAGGCATAGTTCTGCAAGKTAGTTTCCATCAGAGTAGAAACAAGTATCTACTGAACACACACCTAAGATGAGCCCTAAGCTTGGTGATACATGTTGGATACTTATTGTGTCAGGCCACAGGCCACTGCTCCCAGTGAGAGGACCAGTCATCACAGCTCCAGGCCCAACTGCATTAACAAAGGCACAATATATCCTTTGGGGCACTGGTGCTCTTAATGTCTGAAGTTTTGATACCACACCATCAACCCCAAGGTTAAGTGTGACCCCAATAAGAATGAATGTAAAGGGTCCTTGCTGGCATTGCATGTGCAGGAGTTGAGAAGCATCCACATCACCTAGCACTGTAATTGCCTGTGTCTCGCTGCCCACCCACACCTCAGCCTCACACAGCAACATTCAGAAAGGCACCAAAATTATAGCTAAAATACGATGATGATGACGACCCAAGATGACAATTAATGTTCATTTCCAGCAGGTAGCTCCCACAGTTGTGAAAGCTTTGTGCTAACCACATTGCCTACAGGGATTCTTCAGCACTTGCTCAGAASCTTTTTCATGGGGAAATATCATCATTATTATTATTATTCCAACTTGAGATCAGGAAACAGTGACATTGGGAACTTAGGTGTCTTGCCAACATCATCAGGCAGCCTGGCTCCAGGTCCTGAGCTATATTGCTCATGAGTGCCAAGAGGGTTCTGTGTCTCTGCAGTCCTCATTTGGGGTACAACAAATAGACTTGCTATTGGCATAGGAAAAAAGGCCAAGGTTCTCTCATACAGGACGTGAGTCCAGATGGCAGGCTCCTCTGAAGCAGTTTCATGTTTTCCAAATGTGATCATTTCCTTTGTATCAGGAAAGCCCAGTGAACCTGGTAGACAGGATCCTTTTGAAGTAAACAATCATAATACAATATGAATGACACAAAGCTTAAGGGGCCAATCTACTCTCAGTTGTTTGTGCAATGAAAGGGTAGATGTACAAATCAAACACACTAATGAAAGACAATTCACCCTTCAGGTACTTCGCTTAAAATATTTTAGAGGTCAGGCAATCTCTACATGAAAGAATGGGCTTCTAAATTAGTTTTTTGGAACTAGGAACATGTCTTTCTCCTGTAAATACATTACATCAGAAATGAGATTCCGAGGCTAGCCTATGATCTTATAGTCTCTTGAATTGGGCCTTCAGAATTCTCATTTCCTCTCCACATTTTTATAAAGCAACAAGTGCTGGACGTGGTAGTACACGCAAGTATCCTAGAAATTCGGGAGGCTGAGGCAGGAGGATTGTCAAATTCAAGCTCAGCTTCAACAATTTAGCAAGGCCCTAAACAACTTAGTGAGATCCTGTCTCAAAAGAAAAAATAAAAAGGGCTGGGCATGTTGCTCAGTAGTCAGACACCCCTGGGTTCAATCCCCAGTACCCCTGGTACATCCTCCCAATCACATGATCCCACCCCTCAGAGGTGAGCAGACGATGCTCTGAGGCCCAAGAGGGCAGAGACCTTGCTTTGGCACAGTGGCTGCAGTGGTGAATGTAGCGTGGGAAGGGTGGTTGGATGAATGGGGAAGACATGCTTGGTTTTTGATCCATACCATCCATCACTTGCCACCACACTTTTCCCCGTCTCTGAGCTGTGCAGGCAGGGCAGAGCCTCAAAGGTGTACATTTGAATTTGGAGCAAAATGGGCTTGAGCAAGAAGTGGTGCTTTCCAGGTAGAAAACCAATCATGGGAATTTCGAGATGAAGAACAAGGTCCCAGATTCTTCCCAGATGAGAATCTGCAGGTCTGACTGATCACAAGAGCCAGTGTGCTGTTAACAAGTTTCTGCTGCCATCACAACTGATCCCCAGCAGCTCATTTTGGGGGTTGTCAGGCATCAAATGACATTTTTTWAAAAAATGTATTAATAAACACTTTAGCCATGTTTTCACTACTAGATAAGAATGGCATATGGTAGAAATCACATATGGTAGAGATATGGTAGTGACAGAGCTCAGAGATGGAGTACTTGTGGCAGACAAACCTGTAGGCACTCAAACTCAGGCACCCCATCTTTGGGAAAGGATTACACTGCCCTCCCCAGACAGCTAAGGAATGCCTTTGTCCCAAGAAATTGCCATCATTCCTCTTTCCTCATCCCCTCCGCAAAGAAAGGATCCAGATCCAAACACTACAATCATGCGGACACCATCTATGGCATTTACATGTTTGACACCCAGGAAATAATTATAATATTTTCGCTTTTCCAAATCTCCATCTCCAAGTTTTCAACTTTCAGCCTTGTCTCAGCACCACCGTGCCCCAGCCTGGAGCAGGCATCCCTCTCTGGACATGTCTTGCCTGCTCATCTGAGATCTTCAGTTGTGCCTCCCTGTAGGATGGCTTCCTCAGCTCTCAAGACCAGTTTTGGTGTTCCTCCTATTGCTCTCAATCTGTCTGTCCTTCCCTACCTCTATCTCATTGCYTATCGTTGGCTGCTTACTGTTCCCTCACCCAGGCTGTAAGCACCATGACTAAAGCACTGTTTGATTAAATCATTCTTGTGTTTTTTTTTCCCCCCTCTGCCCCCACATTCTGGTCCAGTTCTTATCACTAGAACTCATTCTTAATGAATGGATGATGAAGACTTACAGCAGCATAGAGATGGGACAATTGCACACTTCTAAGATTATCTGGCAACATCCCAGCCTGCAGAAACCCACACCATGCATGACCCACTACTCACCAATTCTGGCCAGGATCACGCCAGAGAAGAGCAAGATAATGGAGACGTAAGACTCTGGCTGCTCAGGGTCCTGCCGCCCGTCGAACAGAACAGTGCTGTTGGTCCAATGAATGGAAGAACGGTCCGGGAGGATGGGTTGGTTCAGGTTTCTTTCAAAAGGGTAAATGTGCACTTGGTCATCTTTTAGTAACTCGGGACTTGAAGAAGAGTTCTTGCTCAATGGAAGTGAGGAAACAGCCGTGTCAAAGGGACTTCCAGGAGCGAAGACAGAAAACACGCAGAGCGTTAGACAACCTACATGGAGCCAGCTGGATATGACTCCCGTGGTGACCAAGCCATAATGCCCCCGGAGCCAGGTGAAGAGAATTGTACCCATCAGGCCAGATAAAGCCGAAAGGGCTGTGAGGATGCTGAGCAGGGACCCTCCGATGCCTTGGGTGTAGGCATAGCCTGTGGTGATGCAGTCAAACCCCAGCACGGTCATGTAGAGGAAGGCCAGGCCCAGGCCAGGCAGGAAGATGGTCTGCCGGCAGTAGGTTTCCCAGCCCTCCCTGCACGTGTGCAGCAGCCTCTGAGTGTTTCGAAGGCAAAGAAGAAATCTTTTAGTTGTGACCCGTTCTTCTTCAAGGTGAGACTTGCAATCTTTTGGTTCTTTTGAAGTTCCAGGCTTGTTGATAAATCCATCAGTGGTTTCCCAAGAGTCCATTTCACCTAAAATAAAATCCAGATAAGCTTAAAGTCAATACCCGTGTCCCCTCAGCCCATCCCAACCTCTGCTTTTTATTGGATACTTCCTGTGCACACTGGTGGCTTCCTGTCCCCAATCACCTGTGTCTCTGCCTGAAGACCTCTCTCCAGCCACTGGAACAGGAGGGACAGGCTGTGAGTGCCTGGGACAATTTGAAGGAACATCCCTTGTACCTCTCAGGTCCTCAGTTGGACTGAGCCCAAATCTCTCTGTAATAATCTCTGGGAGCCTCCTTTCCCCTTCCTGTCTTACTTCCCACCCCTCAGCATGCTTCCGGAGGTCACATTCCAAAGAGATGACTCTCTACCCCAAATCTGTCTCAAGAGGCACTTGAAAGAATCCCACAAGACACACTATCCAATTAGGAAGGCAGGCATTGATGGGGACAGTGGGTATAGGGGAGGGTGGGAGAGCAAATTTCACTTGCTTGAAACTTGGTAATGAGCTCCAGAAAAAGTGATAGGTACCTCCTTTAGTTACTTTTCTGAAGAAACAAGTACTTATGATGGGGAAAAAATATATATAAAATACCTTTCGGTCTTCCAGGATATATCAGACAATGATATAAGCAGATTAAACTATTGGTGAGAGACTGACCAGTCCTGCAAAGGGCTGGAGGAGCCCAGTAGGGCTCTGAGGGGAGAAGGGGCAGGTGAGCCAAGTCTATTCCAGATCAAGACCCAAGGGAAAGTGAGGCTCTTCCTCACAGAATGGAATTTATTGCCAAGGCAGTTTTATTTTTAAAGATGACAAAATAACAAGAACAATGAAAACATAGCTAAATTGACTGAAGTTCTCCTATATGCCAGTGAGTTTAATGATGCTTTGCATCTATTTAATTGTACAAAATCCTATCAAATAAGGTTTATTATTGTCCTTGCTTTATAGACAACAAGGCAAAGAATATGAATAAATTAAACTTGCGAAGTCACACAGGTAATACACGGGAGATGAAAAGGATGTAGTTCTATCGATTTGTATCTACCTGTCTAGCTACTCACATACCCATCCATTCATTATTTAAGTATGTATATCCATCTATCTCTCAAATATATATGTTTTACTCATGTAATGGGATTGGTGAGATTTAGGTACAAAACAACTTGAGAGAAGAGAGAATGAATGATACTTAATTAATGATAATTAACAAAGAAGAACTGCAGTCAGAAGCCATTACTAAATTGCTTTGTACCAGGCAGATGGACAACCTTGTCAACAGGCAGGGATGGCTCTCACTTTGGGAGAATGAGGTCATATCTACTGGTAGGTTTTCCTTCCTTTCATTCTCATCATACTGTTGGGGAATTTATAATAATAATAAAAAAAATAATAAAATATAAATAAATAAAAAATAAATAATAAAAAAATCATATTATCCTTACCAAAGATTAACCCATAGTTTTTGACACATTTGCCTTTTTCAATTTAACATCCCTGGGGAAGATGTGCATGAGTGAGATGAGAAGGAGTAATTTGCCCTCTGGGACCTTGGGATAGGTTGTACAGTTTTTACACTGTACAGTCCCATGGGGGTGCTACTTACAATGGAGTCTCTCTGAATGGAGCCCTGGTGTTATGCAGTACACAACTTGTGTAACTGTATAAAAGCAGCCCTGCCTGTCCCAACCAATAAGATCAGCCAAGTGAACTATACAACCAATGGCACAGCTGGAGACTGCTCATTTATCACATTTGCCAAGAAAATGTCAAGATTAGGATCCGACATTAAGTTCTGAAAAGAAGAAATGAAACACTAAGAGAGGGGGAAAAAAGAACAAGAGCTCTCTCTGAGTTTGCATTACCTTGAACATTCACAGCCTCCTGTCGCTTTTCTAGGAAGGGCTTCCCTGTTTGTTGCTGGGGTTTTACAGCCAATTGGGGAACTAGATGATAAACCCTAGACAGAAATAGAAACTCTACAAGAAGTGAAACCAAGTTCCATCCAAGAATGAAACCACAACCGATCACATGAGATGCCCATGTCATCACCTGGCCCACAGACAGGGGAGCAAATATATTGATGATCTGGTCCAGCCGCCGGACTGCTGCATTCATCCCTGTGAGAGGAAGGAAATATGGCAGGTCAGTGGATGACTCCTTCTTTCCAGTCAATTGACCACAGACASTTGCTGGAGTTGCCAGCCACGCCCTAGGTGGATGATATTAACAGAAGGAAAACATCCCTTTGGCTGAACTATAGTAATACGATTCTCAACCTGAAAAAAAAAATGTTAAGATCAGTTCTATTGGAACTTGAGCAGTTAACAATTAATAAAATCAGGACTAGAGAGACTAGGTTACTTGGAGCTAGTTATTCTACCCCCCATCTCAGCACACTTTCCCATCATACCCCACTATCTTAACAACAATAATATTAATAGCCACTGTCACAGCTAACATGGTGACAGGGAAGAGTGAGTGGTCATCGAAGGAGGACAGAAGGAGGAATGAGTTGAATATTTACTATGTGCCACAAAAATAGTTCCACGCCTTCTACCTGTATTCATCTCATTTCACCCTCATCACAACTCTAGGAGGTAACAGTATTTCTCTTTTGCAAATTAGGAAACTGAGACACACAGAGGTGAATATATTTGCTCAAGGACACAAAGGAGGAAAATGATGGAGCTGAGACTCAAACCCAGGCAGTCCGACTGCAAAGCTTATTCTCTTCCCTCTTCTGCTATCACTGAAGAGTTCGTTGTAATAACTGTAATGAACTTGAACCAGAATCCATGCTTTTCTAAGATTTCCTTAAAATTAATTAACAGAGAACGGGGAGATTTTGGAGGACACCTCAACACGATGTCACCCAGTTCCACTCGCCTGGCTGTTTTATTTTGGGTGTTGTTATTTAAGCCACAGTACATCCAAAGAAGTGCAATTTAAAAGAAAACATGATTATAAGGGGCTTCTAACTCTGCATGAGGCATACATTTGAATCGACTCCTCCTTAATAGCTTTCTTTATCTTGGCCATCAGCACTCGTACACATTTCCTAGCAGGGAGTTTCAACTGCACAAATACAGGGTAGGCTGAGGTCTTCAGCTTGAAGTCGGCAATTAGAATATATATCACAATGTGAAGGACCCAATTTTTGTAAATGGGGGAAAAAAAAAACAAAGAAGACATCCAATTATCCTATTGAATTACTTCACTGGAATATCAATGCTGACCAACAGTCACACTGGCAGATACTGTTTGTCTTGTTGTCTGCTTATCACTAGATGGAATTAAGAAATCTTTTCATTCATTTATTTTCCAGGTCTAAAATTGTCAAGGAACTTGGTGATGAACTTGCAAATGGAAGACTTCTTTCCTGAAGGCACAGTCTATTTCTTTCAACAATAACGATATCAACCATTTCTTAGGGGCTTCCTACATGTGGATACAGGGTTAAGTGCTTTTCAAACCCTGTGTCCCCCAGAATCCTCCGTGTGTGTGTGTGTGTGTGTGTGTGTGTGTGTGTGTGTCTGTGTGTGTCCCACATCCTACAGATGAGGAAAGTCAAAACTAGAGAAGGGCAGTAACTTGCCCAGGGGAGGCAGCTGGGAAGAGGCATACCTGGTTTTAGCTGAATTTGAACCCACCTCTGTGGGCTCCAAATACCATTCACTTAACAGGCTATCATTCTGCCTCTCTCAGAACCCCAAATGGCTCTCCAATTCCATTTTTCAGAAGATCGGAAGACTGGTAAGGCCCAGGATGGCATTGCTCACCAGCCAGCTGGCTTCCGTTGCCACCTGTGAGGCTCACGATCCAGTCCCTCTGAATGGTGATGGTCAGCGCTGTGCCAGCCAGGTTTGCCACAGCTGCCAGGGTGATCAGCACTGTGTAGCAGGCCACCTGTGGGAGGAAGGGGACTTCAGAGCTCAAGAACACTTTTCCAACCCACAGGCATACACACAAGTTATTTATCTGACAGCTTGAGGATCATCTAAACGAGCAAAGAGACTTGTGGGAGAAAGAGGCTCAATGCAAGTTTGAAGCCAAATGTGTGCTAACGCTAAGCATTTTCTCAGCCCATTACAGATCAGATCCTAATATGTACCTTGCAGACAGACTCTGCTGTTATATTGCTTCCTGTCTGTGAGATTTGGGCTTGATTCACAAATTAGGGGCAAGGAGAGCACTGGTGGAAAGATGGTCCAGATCACAAACCAGTGAGCAGGGACGTGCAGAGATGACTCCCTAATGGACATCCTTGTCTATGACTGTGACATTCGCTCTCATGGCTTAGGAGGGAGTGGAGAGACACTCACAGTGAACCAGCCGTGCCAGATTTGTTCCATCTCCCTTCGGTAAGAGAACAGGAGCATGAGGAGCACACAGCAGGCGGTGACAGAGGCATTCTGAATGAAGAGCGAGGCGTGAGCAACTGTGAAGGGAAATGCCCGGGGGCCCAAGATTTACTTTTGGCATTAGGAGGCAAGTCACAGCTATGTCACCATGTAATGCAGAGCAATTACATCTGACCAAATCCCTGGGCCAACCAGGCTTGTAATTTCCATCAGCAATTGCAGGCTTGGGTAGGAAGCAAAGAGCAGGCTCCGTGCTCAGGACAAGCAAAGCCTTTGTGACCAAAAGACAAAAAGCCGAGCTTTGCAAGTGAATGAAACATACTTTGAGAGAAAGGTGATATGAAAAGCCAGATTCCAGATAAATTAAGAAGCTTGATTTTTTCTATTGCTTCATTTGACTTTCTCGGATTTCACTTATGGTTGTAGCTATCCAATGAGTCTAAAGAGCAACACTACAGATTTTAAGTAAATCGGGCTTAAACACATTAGTGTAGTTTCTGCAAACTCATTTCCAACTCTTTTAGAGATAATGAAAATAATCATGTTGACTAGTCATCAAAAGAACAGGATAACTTGGGAGACCCAACATTTTTATTGGGCAAAGAGGCCTAAGAAGGTATTATAGGCAAAAAGTTAAAAGTTAAAAAGAACATCTATGTTTGAAGAAATAAGTATCCATGTTGATTCCTCGCTTAGATGGATTACCTCATATAAAAGGTATCTTTTACACATAGAAATTACCTTTACCAAAAATAGCACAAGTTTTATTATGCATAGGTAATACCAGAACATTAAAAAGCTATATCTGGGGATATAGCTCAGTTGGTAGAGTCCTTTCCTTGTATGAACAAGGCCCTGAATTCAATCCCCAACACCACAAGAAAAAAGAAAGAGTGATTGTAATGTTTTGAGCAACTAATAAAAAAATTAAAAATTAAAAAGAAAGAAAGAAAGAAAACAAGCATGTTTTTCAATAATTTAATATTAAAAGGGTGTAATTATTAAGATTCTAAAAACCATTAAAAAGCTGGGAATATGGCTTAATGGGAGAGCATTTGCTGAGTAGGTATAGCTCTGGGTTTAATTGCTAGCCCCACAAAAAAGTAAATAAATAAAAACCACATTAAAGTATTTTAAATGTAGCACCAAAGAATATGACACAAAGTTATATAAGGCTTTCTTTTAGAGTTTTCAAGTTACGTTCCACTCTTAGCTCAGATCTATAATTTTGATTCACTAAATAAGCCAAAAAAATCTAGTAAATTCATGATGAACAACATAATCATATGTGAAATAAATAAAAGCATTACCTTTATTTCTTGGCTTCCTGTCAATCCAGTTACCAATTAAGACCCCAAATATTAGTACAGATCCAGCCACCACTAAGCCAAACACTGCTGTTAGAAGAAGATTATGTCCATATAATTCTATCAGGAACACAGACATGGCAAAGTGCCACATTCGATCTCCCTGCAAGGCAGTAGGGCAAAGCATATTGTAGTCATTGACTGAAAGACAGAATAGTTAAAATCCAGAAAGGCACATTTCTCCCAAAGAATATGCTATGTGCAAACTTTGAAAACAGAATAATCAAATTACACTTTTATGTAGAACTATAACTTTATTCAATATACTTACAACTTTAAAAAGCCAGACAGAATATTTTCACAAATTTCTAAAGCATTAAAGAACCAATAATCTAGGACTAGGGTTGTGGCTCAGTGGTAAAGCACTTGCCTGGCATGTGTGGGGCCCTGGGTTCGATCCTCAGTACCACAATAAACAAACAAATAAAGTTAAAAAAAAAAAAACCCATTGACAACTAAAAACATTTTTTTTTTAAAAAAAAAAAAAGAGCCAATAATCTAGAGAAAAATCAAGCATACACTTGGGAGAAGATGAGAACTCAAAGAGCACATCTGCTGATCGGAAGCAACAACTGTGACATAGAACTGCAGCTCTGCTGGACTCAGAAAGCTAGGTGACAGAAGTCTACCAAAGATGGGTACCACTTTAAGCTAAGAGCCCACATAGTCAGCTATACCCTTAGGTTAAAGAGGGCAAACTGGAAGTAAATCCCACTTGCCTGGGCTAATTGTTCACCTGTACCTCATCTGTATAATCCAGAAAACCTCAAGCCTTGAACTTGGGTTAAATCCCTATGCTAACCAGCACTATCATTTCCATCAGCAATTGCTGGCTTAAGTCAGAGACAAATGGCCAATGCCCACTAGGTACCCTAGGGAAGGCAGTTAAATCCTCCCTAAAGTCAGATGCCATCATCTTAGCAGTAAATCTTCAAGTATAATGCCCAGCCCATGGTCAAGGGCAACCAGCATATGGCAATAGAGCAAAATCTATAATAAAGAGCAGTCAGCACTACAGACCCACTAAGAGTTCGTGTATTTAATTTATTAGACATAGACTGTAAAACAATTATGCTTACTAAATCTAAAAAAATTCAAGTTTGGGCTGGGGTTTTGTAGTTCAGTGGCATGCGTGAGGCATGGGGTTCAATTCTCAGCACTACATATAAATAAATAAATACTAAAGGTTCATCGACAACTAAAAAAAAAGAGTGACATGGCAAGTTTGGAAAAAGGCTAAATAAAAATTCTAGGACTGCAAAATACAACAATAGAAACTAAAATTAAAAATTCAATTGCTTGGTTCCATAGTAGATTAAACATAAAAAAATCAGTTAATTTTAGATATGACTGAAGAAACAACTAACGATAAAACAGAGAAAGACAAAATAAGAGGAAGGATGACAAGAAGGTGAAAAAGGAGAAAAAGAAATATAATAGGCCAAACCAATAGAAAACACAAAGTAACATGGTAGACTTAGCTTAAACATATCATTAATTACAAATGAACTATTTTAGTTAAAGCATAAAGATTGACAAATTGGATTTTAAAATATAATTATATACTGTTTAAACAAAAATATTAAAGCAAAAGAATAAAAAAGAGCAGACATAAGAAGATGGATAATGATATCATGCAAATTCCAATCAAAATCAATGCACATCACTAAGTTAATATCAGGGAAAATACTCCAAAGCAGAAAGCATTACTCGAAATAAAGAGGGTCACTTTATAATGATAAAAGTTTAATTTTCCAGAAAGATATAAAAATTCTGATTTTATATGCAGTTAATAACAAGGGCTCAAATATATGACACAAAAAAGTGTAGAATTAAAGTGAGAAGTAGATAATCCCTGTGGGAGATTTTTAGGTCACCACCTTTCTCTTCATAATTGATGAAAAAGCTAAAATATACATATATAAATATGTTAAATGCATGTGTGTTTGTGTGTGTTCATTCAACCTAAAGGTCACAGCAAAACACTGTACCCATCAAACTTCAGAATGCGTATTGTTTTAAGCACATGAAATATTTGTAGAAATGAGCCATATAATGAATTACAGAGAAAAATCCTAATTTCAGTGTATTGAAAGAGGATGTTCTCTGAACTCAAGACAAGTAAGCCCCCAAATCAACAAAATAAAAATCAAAAACTCCTTATTTATTTGTAAGTTAAAGAATATATCTTTAAATAATCCATAGGTCATAAGCCAGCAATCACAAAGGACATTATAAAATATATTTAATTAAGTATATCAAAACTTGCCACATGCAGCTTATGCACTGCTAGAGAAATTTTTAATCTTAAATTCATATATTAGAAATGAAAGGGTAAATCTAATGAGCTAAGTATCTTTATTATGAAATTTAAAAAGGGCTGGGTGCTGTAGCACTCGCCTGTAATTCCAGCGTCTCAGAAGGCTGAGGCAGGAAGATTGTAGTTACAAAGTCAGCCTCAGCAAAAGCAAGGTACTAAACAACTCAATGAGAACTTGTCTCTAAATAAAATCCTAAATAGTGCTGGTGATGTGGTTCAGTGGTTTAATGCCCCTGAATTCAATCCCCAGAAGAAGGAGGAGGAGAAGGAGGAGGAAGAGGAGAAAGAGGGGGAAGGAGGAGGAAGAGGAGAAGTAGGAGAAGGAGGAGGAGGAGGAGGAGGAGGAGGAGGAGGAGGAGGAGATTAAAAAGGAACAGCAAATCAAACCCAAAGAAAGTAGGAAAAAGGCAATAATAAAAGTTAAGATCAGAAATTAATGAACTGGAAAAATGAAGACACACAAAAAAGGCTTCTAAAGCCCAAAGCTGAGTCTTTGGAAGGACTAATAAAGTAAGTTGTGGTATATTGTGTAATGAATATAATACAGCAGTGGAAAGTACCAAGCCAGGACTTTTACAAAAACAGAGATATTAAAAAAACATAATCTTGAGCAAAAAAAGTAAGACAGGATAGAATATACATGGTAGGATTTATTTTATGTAAAGTTCAGAGAGTAAGCTAAATATCATTTAGGGATGACTACATTCGTGGTAAAACTAAAGAAAAACAAGGAAATAAATGCCATAATGTGAGGCTCATAGCCACTTCCCATTGGTAAGGAAGTCGGTGTGACTGGAAAAGACCCATGAGGGACGTGCTAGGTGCTGGTGAAATCATAGGTCTCCATTGAGATGGCTTAAATGATATTTATTTTGTAATTATTCATTATCATCTTTTATAAACATTATCTTTTCCTCTATTTGTCCTATATTTGATAATTCAAAATATCTTTAAACAAAAATATGCACATGCTTTGCATTCAATATTTTGAGACATTCTAATGTCCTTAACATTTCAGTTCTCTTAACCATTCAAAAATATTAATTTCATTTTGATTCATCTTACCCATATCGATAAGGCACAGCTTACATAAATCAAAAATCTTGGGCCCATGAGGTRGATCAAAATTGCTCCTAAAACACACATACACAAATCATAGATGTTAGTAAATAGTAAAATACATCTAAAGATTTAAAGCAAATTTTGCCACTAATGCAGAGAAAGTAAAATGCTGTTTAGCGTTAATATGCTTTCAGAAAGTAGTTAACTGCTAAGTAGAAATGCCAGAAACAGAAAAGCATATGGTTTGCCCAACAAGCTAGGGAATTCTCAGTTTTCGGTTTGTTTTTCTTTGACTTGAAGCCCTCGTCACTCATTGTCACCAAGTGACCACTGGGGAAATATTCAGCTAGGTCCCTTTTCTCAAGTCTAGAGATAGAGAAGCAAGCAAGCCATTACTAAAGGCTTAAAGGAAGCATTAAAGGAAGAAGCCCAGAGTGTGATGGGAAAAACACACAAGTGTCAGCTGTCCCAAACTGAAAATGTAGGATGAAGGCTTTCAGTAGAAGTGACCCCTGGGCAAAGTCAGAAGGTCACAAGGGAGATGAGCTACTGATGAGAATTGAGATGGACATTGCTCTCTAGGTCAGGAGACCTACGATATGAAGATTGAATACAAGAAAAAGTAAAACATCTAACAATAAAATCTGGAGGTTGGGTAAAAAAGGTGGAGAAAGATAAGAAGAAACAAAGGGCAGGAAGCAAGTCCACAGGGAAACGCCTCTTTACCTAGAAGAAACAGGAAAGAGGGAGATCCTCAAAGCCACTGTCTCCCCCATGGATTTCCAGCTACAGGGGGCCTCCTCCTCATCCTTCCTGCTGCTCAGACCTGAAAACTTTGTATTCTCTCTTTTACACTCATCATGTTGCCTGAATCTTAAAATATATACACAATTCCTGAATCCAATTACTTTCCCCACCTCCATTTCACCATCTTACACCTGGATTATTTCAATAGTCCCTTAACTAATCTCCAACTTCTACCGTGCCCCCCTTTCAGTCTATTTTGATCATAGCAGCAAGAGTGGTCCTATAGAAAACCTCAATCAGGTTATTAACTCCTCTGCTTAAAACCTCAAACAGTGGCCACGTCTACTCAACAAAATCCAAAGTCCTTACAGTGGCTCCTACAGGATTCTTTCCCCTCCATTTATTTCTCTTACCTCATCTTTTACTACTCTATCCCCATGAATTATGTTCCAGCCGCATGGGCCTCATTCTCATCTCTGAATCTTTGCACTGGCTGTTCCCTCTGTCTGGAATACTCCTCCTCCAGGCATTCTCATGGACTCACCCCATCAACCATCAAAAGTTCTCTCTTCATTGGCACCTTCTCTTTCTACTCAATGTAAAAATAGCATACTGGAGCTGGGCACAGTGGTGCATGCTTGTAGTCCCAGCTATTTGGAGGCTGAAACAGGAGGATGGCTGGAGTTCAGGAGTTTGAGACCAACCTGGGAAATGTAGTAAGACCACATCTAAACATTTAAAAAGTAAATATATAGGAATAAAATTTGTGTACTGTCTAGACCAACTTGTGATAACCAGTGGAACTTTCTTCAATAATGGGAACATAACCTCACTGTCAACAGGATAGCCACTATCTACCTAGAACAGGAAATGTGGCTGGTGGGACTTAGGAAGTGAATTTTGAATTTTAACTAATTTAAATAGCCACACCAGGCTCATGACTATGATTTATAAGTACAGCAACTGTACACTCATTTCTTTTGCTGATTTTCCCCTTACTTTTGTCCCTGACATACTGTATAATTTAGTTATAATTTATTTATTTTTTCCTGTTTAAATTTGCTCTTCCTGCTAAAAGTTAAGCTCCATTGAGGTAGAAAATTTTCATCTTGTTCACTACCATCTTCCTAGCACTGAGGAAAATTCCCAGCTCATGGTAGACACTTGAAAAATATTAGTTAAGTGAACAAATAGAGGTGCATAAAAGAACCTAAAATTGTCCTCTGGCCGTGGTCTGGATCTGCTCTCTGCTATTTTGCTGACTTGCTCCAAATCTCATCTTCTTGCCTGATGTCCCTGCCCTTTTCACTGGCCTGTCCATCCATTCATACACTTTGTTCTAGTTCCCCAATGGCATACTCACCACCTTCACCTTGACCTCTAATTTCTAGTCTCTTCATATTGGCTCATCGCAACCACACTTAGCTCTGCTGAGTTTCTTTTCAATTAGATTTTCCTGAGACAATAAATGGCCAAGAAGAAAGTCACAGCCGTAGAGTGCTGTCAGCTTATGCTTCTCTGTACTAAGCCTCCAGAGAAAAGCACAGCACCTCACAGCTGCTCTCAGCTGTCAATCATAGTATAATAAGTTAGACCTCAATCATCAACCCCATATGCCAAATCATCAGACAGGTGCACTAATAGGGATGAAGGACTTATGCACCAAGACCTCTGAGTGTAGTCCATCTCCTGCTGTGTCTTCCCAGGATACACAACTATGACCCCCAGTGATGTTTAGGTGGCTATTACTAGTCGGAGGATTTATTCCAATCCATGTACCTTGAGGGTATCTCACCTTTTGTAATAGAAAGCCTAAGTTTGAACCAATGGACAGTAAAAGGAACAGGAAGACTCTAGAAAAGTTTCATTGTACCTATTATTCATTATGATCAATAGATGGGTTTCCACTTTAAAAACCTGGATGTCAAGAGTATTCTATTGTAGTGGTCTCACACAGGCTGCAAAGGAAGTAGAAATTAAAATGTTGTTGAAGGCTTCCAGTTTTCTCTTTCTTTATTAAGTCTGATGACTCAGGTTTAATTTAAGTCTTTTGTAACAGCTAAGCATTTCCTTCTTGCATAAATGAGGGGACACGAAACCCACATATTAGAACTTGCATTTAGAGGACACTCAACACACCATGGCTAATAATATGACAGGCAGGAGCATCTATTCCATTCTGTTGTACAGAACAATCTTTGCAAGTAAACTGTATATTGAAATGTGTTACTAAAATTGAGAGTGAAGCAAAAGATAGTTTTCATGAATGGTACAAAGTTCACCTTTCCTTAAGCTAAAGAGATTGTGTGTACACAAAAAGAGAAACCTAAAGTGTCCTTTTGGACACCATTTATCTTCAGTTAAACTTCAACATGATACAGAGCAGAATGAGTTTGAGTTTTAAGTTTCGTTTAACATCAAATGAAACAATTTCCTTTCTAGAGGAAAGAGCAACTGTTTGGCAAATGACCAGTCACTGACATCTCTCCCTTTCCCCCCTTGACAGCATAATGATTTTGTGCAGGGTGACAATGCACCCATATCCCAGGGGATGAATCACAGTGGATGTCAATCTTTGAAGGTGGTTCTATTTTCAGCCTCCCCCATAGCTAGGATTGGCCACAGGACTGTTCTTCTACTCATGAGGTTCCATGGAATTCTTTCGGGGGCTTCTGGGAAAGATGTGCTTTCTGATAAGAAGACAGCCTGCTTTGCTCTTCCCACCTACAGCCTGCCTTTGAACATGACTATGATACCTAGAGCACAGAAGTTACCTTGCAATCATGAACAGACAGTGTCTACAGCCAGCCACCAAGGATGCCAAGGCAGATGGGCAGAACAAGCTGGGTTCTGAAGGCATCTCTGAATGGCTCTAAACTGGATAGCTACTGAAATTCTTGTTTACTAAAGAGTGAATGTTCTTGGGCTGGGGTTGTGGCTYAGCGGTAGAGTACTCATCTGGCACATGCAAGGCCCTGGGTTTGATCCTCAGCACCACATATAAATAAAATAAAGGTATTGTATCAACTACAACTAAAAAATATTTTTAAAAAAGAGTGAATGTTTTTAAAGTTTAAGCCCTTGACAGCTGAGTTTTATTAGTATCCAGAAATATTTCTTTAATTATTAGTTCAGTGACTGCCTATACACCCAGTATCTAAATTTAATATTTTTAATATTTACCATATTTGCTTTATCTCTGTATTTATAATTTCAGCGTACTTGGAAAATAAATTGTAGACATCATGAAACTTCACTCTTGTCAGCACACAACTCCTAAAAATAAGGAGATTTTCTTTCATAACTACAGTGTCATTATCTTTCCCCCCAATGCTACTAATTCTAAGAGCATCTAAGAGCTGCTCCATATTTATCTTCTCTATTATTGCCCAAATGTGTTTTTGTGGTTAGAGAAATTTGCCATTTAAACAGGACAAGTGGGAGTTGGGGTATTTTCACTTATTATTCTTCTTTTAATCAAAAAAGAAGATTGACCTGTGACAACCAAGCTTCATTTTCCAGCTCATGATGGCTTCTGAGCACAGCTGAAATTCCAGGAAAGACTAGAATAAAGCTTTAGTGTTACAACTGCAACAAATAACCTGTGAGCCTCATGCACACATCTTTCAAGAATGTTGCAAAAATTCCCATTTGGAAACTTATTTGGGATGGAGCTTCTGCAATACTAATGCTCTTCTCAATTAGACGGTGAGGCAAAGGACCATGAATATCTAATGTAGAGTCAGGGACCCACTCAGTGAGGCAGGACTCTTAACTTGTGGTTCTAGCTTGATCCCTCCTCCCACAAATAGCCCTATGCATCYCACTCCATGATTTATAAGGAACAGGGTGAGAAAATGAACAGGAGATGATAGTCGTGGTAATTATAATACTAACTGTGTACACATAATAGTCAACATTTTTTGTGAGTATAATCAAGAAAAACTAGGATGCACCCAAACTCTGGAAAAGAGAGATGAGAAAACAAAGATAATTGCCTTGTGCCATTTAAATTGGTAAAATCAGTTGAGATTTTTTTCTAGAACATTGCTACATAAAAAAGACAAGTGTTGTTTGATTATCTTTGCTTATTTTTTCTTAACCTCCCATTTTACTTAATTAAAGCCACTGTGCTCAGAGGAATTGTGCAATTCCAGAGCACTGTGAATGCAGCAGTATTGCCCCTCCAGAGGTAATGTGCTCCCTTTTCTCAAGGAGAGCCTACAATGATGCCTAACCAGAGACTTACCTAAAGAACTCGTCTCTCCCTTCATGTGCTTGGTGCTTGCTGTTTTAGTTTGCTTCTCCTCATTTCCAGGATTTTCAATGTCATTCAATTCTCCCACCATAATAACCACATGCTGGGAAAGAAAGGTTTCAAATAATGAAAAATACATTCAAACAACTCCCATACTTATGGTCAAAAACAGGAATAAGTCAGTGTGCTTAACTGACTTACTTCCAATTGGATTCTTCTGAGCCCACTTATATTGTTGCTTATTTCAACTACATAAAATGAATTGTGTAATCCATTTGAAGGGCTCTACTGCACGTGAATAAGTCATAGCAAGTGCTATAGACAAATAGAGGCCTATTATCAATTCTCAAAACCAATTATTTTGGGGGAAACATTCAGCTCGATATAATCAGAGATTCAGCAGATTAATCAGACACACAAAAAGGGTAAAGATATGTTTTGACTAAATTGTCTGTTGCCATTCAACCCGGGAACACTGGTGTAAGTAATTTGTCCTCCATTAATATGTTATTTTTCCAACTTTAATTTTTCAACAGGGTAAATTTATTATGCTTATAACTAATTCAAGTGATAACTAAAATCTTCCTTGAATTTTCACTAACATATATCCTGGTGAAGCCAAGATTTATTTCTGTTAATGACTATTTTACTTCTAAAAAAGAGTGAAAATGAAGAATTTCCAAAACTGTAATAGTTTGCTCACCGAACAGACAGCAGGAGGGTCTGGATCTCTCACTGGACTCTCCAGAAGCCGAAGAGAAAGATGAATTATAAAGCAGYGTAGCCAACGGCTTCTGAACCACACATGGGGGTTGCTATACGCACCGCTTTGTGCGGAAAGTGCTGGAGGTGCAAATGTGTCCTGTGGGTTATCGAAAGAGAGGCCAGCAGTTTCTGCCACCCGTGACCGCCCAGCACAATATGCTCTGGCAGGGGCCCTTCTGGGATGGTAGGTCAGTGCACTGGGAGAAGGGGACATGAAGTGCAGCCAGTCCTGAGGGCCCCAATGAGTATGAGACACCTTCAAAATATCCTTGCCACATTAAACCCTGGTCACATGCAGAAACATTCATCAAGACTCTTAAGGGAAAAAGTTGTATTTGTACTTTGAAATGTGTCATAAATTGCTTAGAGGTAAACAGGAGCTGACCCTCTGCAGAATAAAGTAGATAACATGTCCCCTCCATGTTTAGAGAGAGTTCCCTTAGGCCTTGACTTTCCAGAACTTTCCAGGAGAAGGCTGCCCAGCACTTCTCCCTTTCCTTCCTTCCCCCTCTGAAGTTCTGACTATCAAGGGCATCGTCTCATCCCTAGGTCACCTGTGCTGGCCAGTCCCCAAACAGAGGAATCCTACTAAAAGCCAATGCAAGCACAAGTTTGGGGCTGGTCCTCCTGGATCGATTGGCCTTCCTTCCAAGAGGATTCTATTTTTTTATTGAGATTTTCAGGAACACTTATTTTCATGAAATATGTTATTTTGGAAAAGAATGGGTTTGGGGATGTCTCCAGGTCTTTGGCTCATAATATAATGGGCACCATTTAGCAGTGGCTGTGGCTCAAAAAAAAAAAAAAAAAAATCTCTTCTTTGTCCCAAGCATTCAGTATTGAGTAAAGGACACTTGGGGCCCTTACTCACTTCAGTGATGACCTAAGACATTTCTCTCAGGCTTGGAATGTTTAGTCCRTACATCTTGTTTGCAGTCAAAGGCAGAGAGTAAGTTGAGAAACTTAAGATAATAAAGCTTTCAGTTTATAAATGTTCCAAAGAAGAAATCCAAGAAGATTTAATGAAAGCATTCAATTTGACACATTCTAGATAAATTATTTAAATTTTCCTGCAAATGCTTCAGCCTAAAATAAATGGCTTTGTTTGCAGGAATGGGTACCACACATTTGTCAAAACTCCTCATCCATGTGGAAGTGCTGTAGTCCTGGTAACCAGGGAGCTCAGCAGAGCCGAGAGTCCTGCAGGCTGGCAGGGTGTGCCAGAAACTCCATGATGGTGGGGCTCACATCTGCTAAATCACCCTCCTATCTTGGGGCCCAGGCACAGAGTGAGCACCGAGCAGGCACTCAGGGAAAGAGACCCACTTACTATATTTACAAGTGTAGAAATAGAGGAGCTAAGAAAAAAAAGAGAGAGACACGTTTCAGCTTCATCTTTGATGCACACATGTGCTACACCACATGGTAGAAAAAAGGAGAAAGCAGAGTTGTTCTCTCAAAAAGGAAAATATTAACAAGATATTTGGAAATATTAGTGCAATTTTGAAACTACTGGTGGTTTCTCTAGGCAGGAGTCAGCAGGAGTGAAAAAAAATCAGTTCAGCACACTAGGCAAAAATGTGATTGTCTGGGGGGCAGGAGAAGCATTGTAGAACAGCTCATCAAATAGCTCCCAAGTTAAAGCAAAAAAAAAAATTTTCCAATTAGAGCAAAATGCAAACACACATATGTGTGTGTGCACATTATATACATGTTTACTGAACATTTCAGTCAACCATGGACCATGTGTACAATGGCAGCTCCATAAGATTTTACTGTAGCTGAAAAACTCTTATTGCCTAGTAATGTCATAGCAACCTTAGTTGTATAAGGATACTGTATGCTGTTTCCACAATGACAGACAAGTTACCTAACCAGGCATATCTTAGAACATGTCCCCCTCATAAGCAATGCATGACTGTGTGTATCTACATACACATACACATGTATATATATGTGTATATACCCATATATAGATAGATAGATATAGATATACATATAGATATACTTTATCAAACGGCTCCCAAATTATGCAAAATTWMMSAWWTAWAKATATATATRTGTGTGTGTGTRTATATATATGTATAGATAGATAGATAGATAATTTAACTAAACTCTTAAGATGGAGAGGTCTCTGAAACAAAAGGATTTATTGAGCTGTTTACAGATGCTAGCAAGAAAAGGACTTGATTCTGGCACAAGTGCCCCAGCAATCAGCAGCAGGGCTGGATAGTGGTTAGGAATATGTCTGCCTGACCTAAGAACCAGCAATGTTTCCATAATGAATATGTGGAGGAGGAAAGTATAAATTGTCTATWTTGAGACTACTTTGGCTATAGATAAGAGGGTTGGGATAATGAGAAGAAAGGGACAGTTCTTAAGGAGACGTGTTTCTTTCTTAAAGACTGTTTGGGGTTAAGAGATCAGAAGGTCCATTGATAAACCTGACCAGGGGAGCCTAGTGGTTGATGCCTGGAGATATAAGTCAAGGGTGCAAACTACATTTGGGAATATGGAACTATATTTTGGTGGTTTGCCCCATAGCTGTTAACTGGTTAACTTCTCTTATGTCATCTCTCTTCCCTTCTCCAGCCCTTGTGATTAAATTTAGGATATCTCAGAATTTTTCTTTTATCAACAGATAAACTTACAGAAATGAATATATAAATAAATATACATGTATAATATACATAAATACCTAAGCATACATGTATATACTTAACAGTTTCTGTCTTCTTACTCAAACTTTCAGTGATGAATCAGAGATGCTTTGGTCATGAATAGAGGAATAGTAAAATAAATTCCTGAAATTTGGACAGAGGTGGGAATCAGGGAGAAAGGTGTTATTTAGCATAAGATGATCAGTTTCCTGAAAACTACCTGCCTATATAAGCTATAAAAATAATTTCAAAATTTGCCACTTTATTCTTTCAATACCTTTAAGGAATAACACAGACATCCAAATCAAATATTAGAAAAGGAATTATTCACTGGCTCCAGGCAGACCAACCCTTATCCCATTTAAAAGACATTTGCTGTTTTGATTTACTGGGCTTGTTTTAAATAAAATAAACTGGTAACTGAGAAATTGTTGCTAGGCTTGTCATGACAGTAGATGGGGTTTCACTCTCCAGAGGAGAATATTTTCCCCTTTGCTACACATTGCCTGATAGAATTATGTGCTTGACTTAGTAACCTAGGGCAATTGAAATCTTAAGTGAAAAGGCTCAGAGGAGCCCAGGGAAGAAGCAAATGGGAAGGTGCTCAGACAAAAGGATTCTCAGAAGTCCTGAGATTTCTGGTTTGGACCAAATCCTGTTTTCCAACCTGTGCTTTCCTCCAACAGACACTGCTGGTCAGTGTTTCAATAAGAATTACCCATCCATCCCCAAGCCCAGGCACAGACTCTGCAGTCAAACTGCCTCGGTTCAAATCCAGGGTCCTCCACCTGCCAGTCACAAGGCCATAAGGTTTCTTGGTTTTATGAGGACTCTCAGTTTTTCATCTCTTCAATGGGGATAATAACAGTACTCACCTCACTGAGTGCTCATGAGATTAGATGAGAAGGATTTGCATGAAGGCACTTAGGAGCCCCTCTGGGTAGAAGTAGTGCTCAGAAGAGCTTAGTTGTTGACACTTTTAGTAATAATATTTACACATTCAAGTATTATCATTTTCATTACTATTATGTTCAATGTATAAAATGGCAATCAATGAGAAGGAGAGGGCAATGAATATTTTTTGAAAAAATAAGCCCCAAACACTCTCTCCCTCTCCTTTCCATTTATGTCTGACCATGACCCCTAGGGCTCCATGAGATGAATCGAGACATTCTACTAAATGAAGACAAAAGGCTACAAATACAAAAATTTAAATTAAAAAAAGACAAAAGACTAAGTATGATCCACAGAGGTAAGAACATTGATTGGAGTAACATGGAGTGAAATAAAATATATAATATTTTGCTCTTTGAAATTAATTCTTAAACAATTAATACATGGATTCTCCTTGCAAATATTCAAACAATGCAGATGAGGKCAAACTTTCCTTTGGCCATCATCCCCACTCTTAGGCCCCTGCACTCTTTTCTGGGAGGAATCCATCCTTCCATACCTTGTCTAGAGAAAATCTGCTCTCCCCATTTTTATTCACATAAATGGATTCCTACCCTGTGCACTGTTTTGCAGCTGCTTTCTTCATTCAATAGTCTCTGGAGGTGTTTCCAAGTTATTATATATAAATAGTTCTATTTCATTCATTCTTTTTCATTTGTGCCTACTCCTAATAACCATAATAGGTTGCTTCCATAGATCTGGTGAATATTCA